ATGTAACACTCCAGCTTGAGACTATCTAGGTGGCCCTTTGGATCTCAGATCCCCCCAACCCCGCCAAAAAAAAAAAGAAATAGATCTCAGATTCCTAAATAAGCCTCAATAAAGTCATCGTGAAGCTCTCAGTTCAAGTAATATGTTTGATTTAATGACAATATGATCCTGGAAAACAAATGTATATAGGCCTTTTATAGAATTCACAGAAAAACTGCATGAGCCTTCCTTGTCCTTTCTCCCTGATGTCTGAAAGTTAACCTTAAAGCCTTATTCTCAATTGAGTAATTTTAGCAAAGTATTTCACTATTTTCACAAGATGAAATATTAAAACAGATGCAAAGTATTTAAAGAATGGATGATGGGGCCCCCACTGTGCGAAGATGGAACAACTGAAACATCAACAAGGATAATAACTGATAATAACAAGTTGGAATACACCAAGTATTTCTAAACCCACGAGTTCTTAAAGACTAAACAACTCAATGATAAACCCTAGAAGTTGCTGGGACACCAACTCATTAATTACTCTGAATACTGGTAAATAAAGAGCAAGAATCAAGTTATCTTGCCTTTCCTGTGTAAACTGAATTTCAGGCTAACCAAACAGCTGATGAAGGAAATTCCTCTTTATAAAAAAATATCAGATAATAAATACAACAGGAAAGGCAGAATTTGTATATCACCACTTTCCACCACTACCTCCCCCCGTGAAATAATTAAGCAAAATCATTAGGAGAAAGGCTGATAAAAATTTTTATAACAGATGTAGCAGACTTATAATACCTTAAACTACTGATCAATTGTCTTTTCAACTTTTATTATTATTATTATTTTTTTTATCCTCACCCGAGGATATTTTTCCATTTTTTGTACAGATAGAGTGGGAGGGAGAGAGAGGAAGGGAGAGAGAGAGAGAAACATCGACGTGAAGGGACACATCGAGTGGCTGCCACCCACACGACCAACCAGGGCCGGGGACAAACTGCAACCGAAGTACATGCCCTTAGCGGGAACCGAACCCGGGTCTCTCCGGACCGCAGGCCGACGCTCTAACCGCTGAGCCAAACTGGCCAGGGCGTCTTTTCAACTTTTTATCTTGAAAAGCTTTAAATTTATAGAAATGTTGTGAAATTTAAACATGAATACTTAATGCCTTTCTTCTAGATTCACAATTTTAACATTTTGTCACATGTGCTTTTTCTGTCTTTAGTATGTGAATGCACGCATATATATACACATTATTATTTTTGCAGAATCACTCAAGAATAAGTTACAGACATCATGAGCCTTCAGTCCCTAAATATTTAAGTTTGTATATCCTAAGAACAAGGACATCCTATTACACAACCACAATACAACTGCTATTGATCAATCATAGCATCACACTAAAAGGACACCCAGACATTATATATACTTCCTGATATGATGCATAGGAAGTGCACAACACTATGAAGTATTCTTACCAAAAACTGAGCTTGAATCTATTCAGGCCTCTAGGTGAAGGGCTGCCTGTTTTTGTGAATACAATCTGATTGGCACACAGCCATGCTCATTCTTTTACATGTCTGTGCCTCCAGGGCTTAGTGGTTGTGACAGATACCATATGGCCCACAAAGCCTAAAATATTTACTTACCATCTGACCCTTTACAGAAAAAAATTTGCTGATTCCTGCCCTAGATATAACCACTAGTTTTCAAGGAAACAAAGAAGATTAAGGAACATGTTAAATGATACCACAGGAATGTAATTAGCCAACCTGAACCTTTAGAAGCTCTACAGAACAAATTGGTTTCTGCAACAAATAAATGTAGGAAAACAAAAGGAGAGGGATTGTTTAGATTAGAAGAGATTTAAGGAGAGATATCAAACAAATACAATTTGTGGGCCTTGTTTGGAGCCTATAAAAAAGATATTTATAATTGAGCCCTGGCCGGTTTGGCTCAGCGGTTAGAGCGTCGGCCTGCGGTCCAGAGAGACGCGGGTTCAGTTCCCGCTAAGGGCATGTACCTCAGTTGCAGTTTGTCCCAGGCCCTGGTTGGGTTGTGCGGGTGGCAACTACTCGATGTGTCCCTTTCACCTCAATGTTTCTCTCTCTCCCCCTCCCACTCTATCTGAACAAAATATGGAAAAATGTCCTCGGGTGAGGATTAAAAAAAAAAAAAAAAAGATATAAATGAGCCCAGTCAGTGTGGCTCAGTGCATTGAGCGTCATCCCTTGGACTGAGAGGTCCTGGTTCAATTCCTGATCAGGACACATGCCCAGGTTACAGGCTCGATCCCCAATAGGGGGTGTGCAGGAGGCAGCCGATAGATGTGTCTCTCTCACATCAATGTTTTTATCTCTCTCTCTCTAAAAAATCAATGAAAAAATATAAAAAACATATAAATAAGACAATTGGGGAAATCTGAACAATGAGTAGGTAGGATGTTAAGGAAGTATTGTTAGGGTTTTTTAAATGTGAAAATGCTATCTGGGTTATATTAAGAAAAAGTCCTTCAGGTAGGAAAATTTGCAAAAATTAAAAATATTCTATATATATATAAAAAAAGAAAAAGTCTTAATCTCTAATACTGACATATTTTAAGAAGAAATTATGTCTAAGATTTGCTTGAAAAGAATCCAATAGTAGATAGGGATGGAGTAGAGTAGAAAGAAGGCTGACTACCAGTTGATAATTATTGAAGCTGAGTGATGGGTACCATTGTATTATTCTGTTCTACTTTTGTGTATATTTGAAATTTCTATAAGTTAATAAAATGACCCAAATAAGACTACAAAAAATTGTACAGTTAAAGTTCCTATAGTAAAATTTTCCATAATAGAATTTCCTTTAAAAATTCTATAATAAACAATGAGCTAGCCCTTTCCTTTACACTTACAGGAAAAGAAAAAATCCTCGTGAAAATAAACAAGTGTAACAAAAAGCAGCACCTTGTTTCTGATGCGATCTCTCTTAACCACTTCCTCTTTCTTTTCAGTTTTTTCTGAGCTGCCTAGTGATTCTGTACTTTCAGTCTTCTTTCCTTTATCCCGAAGTGCTTCTTTCTCTTTTTTAATTTCTTCTTCCTTTCTTTTAAAAGCCTTCTCTTTCTCATAGCGCTCCCTCTGCCTCCGGCGCTCTTCTTCTTGCCGTTTTAGTCTCTCTCTTTCCCGAAGTATGCGGTCTTGATCTCGTTCATAATCCCGTTCTCTCTCCCGGTAGTCTCTGCCACTCTCATCTTCAGGTCTGTAAGAAAAACAAATCTGAGGATGTACCCTCAAAGATCTTCTAATCACAAATGCAGGAACACTTTGATTCTGACTTGGCTACTGCAATGAGACTGCACTTTTGGAGCAAAGTAAAAAAAATACTAGTGTTTTGAAAAACAGTAACCAAAAAACCCCCCAAAAAACAGAAGTCATCCACCCCGATTAAGATATTAGAATATTTGAAACCTTTCCTCCTCATCCCTCTACCCCTGGTAAAACAGCTTATTTAATTCAGGTATAAGTCCAAGACATAGCAGTAAAACTAGCATCTAGAAATATGCTGAAAACAAATGTACCAAAGAGACCTCGCCTACTGACCTCTTAGGTTTTTCATCTTTAAGTTCACCATCACAACGTTTGGGCAATGTACAACTTTGCCCACTGGCTCTTTCATCATTTAGATTCTCTTTGTCCAATTTCTTGGCTTTTTCTCTTTTGTCTAATTCTTTTTCATCTCCTTTTTCTGGCTTCTTGAGCAGCTTTAAAGAGAACACATTTATTTTTATTTTGAAGGGTGGGACACTGTCTTCTAAGCCTATCAAAGAAAACAGTATACTAAATATTTTAAATTTTGACTACAGAAGTCCCCTTATTCTGCAGGTACTAAAACTTTCAGGTGAGCAATGAGTGCACAAGAGCAGTAATTTACTAAAAGGTTGCTATTAATGTGAAAGTGTTATCCACTCAAAGTGGTTTAATCACTTGTAGCAATAGGATCAAGACTCCTTTGGCTTTAAATGGGTCTACCTTTAAGTGAACCAATACACACTTTCAAACATGCCTTTTGTCAAACCAGCATGTCAGTACAACTTCATGGGAAAATATGCCACAAATTTAAAATGCTAGATAGATCATGACTATTAGAATGTTTTTATGTAGTACTTGGAATGACAAATACCTTGGTGACCAAAGGAGTGATCTATTGTGAGAATAATTTTGCCTTGAGCCTGAGAGTAACATACTTATATGATGATACAATCATATTATCATTAGAGATGAATAGTAAGAAGTATTTGGCATTGGATTTAAAAATCCAAATACCTCCTATAGCAGAACAGTGAAGTTCCATCTCTACTGAGTAGGAACTCTGCACAATGTCATATACATGACAGAATACAATTCTAAAATAAAAGTGGTTTATAAAGTCCAAATTTCTAAAAGTTTCTTTTTCGTACCACTGCTACAGATCTCTCTAGCATACCCCCAAGTATTAGATATTCAGGGAGATTCTTAAGGCAAATAGACGAATTTCAAGTCTCAGGGTGAAGGCACCATACAGGTCACCAAGCAAAAGGCCAAGCACCAAAAGATTTAAGCATGAAATATTTCAGCATACAGACAACCACTGTAAATGGTGAGTCCAAACTGGACACTAAGAAGGCACCAGTGTAAAGTGAGGACACCATGTACAGGTTTCATTGGAAGTGTTCTTATCTCTCTAATGAACATCTTGGTTAGAAACTAAGATGTTCATTACTCTAATAAGAACATTAATGAATGTTTCTAGCATGTATGGCTCTACCTTCTGCCTTGCTGATAGTTAGGAATAATATGTTAAGTCACTTGTGGCATGGCAGACTTTGCTAGAAAGAATTAAGATGGGAACTTTCCCACCCTGTGGCCAAGCCCCTTATCAACAATAATGAGCCCTGGAGAGCCTCAGGGAACCACATAAACTGCTGAATTGAGGAGGTAAAAAGAGACCCTGCCACCATCTCTGAAATTTTTTTCTGACTTTCTCTGAAGTACTAGTGCTTCCCCAAGAAGTTCGTTGGACCAAGGGCTGCCCAAGCCATGACCTGAGAAGGGAAGCAGCAAGGCTGGGATTTTTCTACAAGTTTTCCTCTTCCTATATGCAATGTGTTCATCAGAACCTGCTGCTCACAGATTCCCAGTGAGATGCAAGAAGGTAACATGGGAATCATGTGAGAGGGGAAAGCATGTAATGCAGAATATTATTGGTAGTACTTGCACAAGGCAGTTATAAGAGACAGCTAAAAAAGAGAAAAAGCTATTTAGACATGGTTGTCCTCTGGCTGTGTATTGTTGAAGCTTCAGGAAGTCATCTGGACTTCCTTTTAAAGTAGGGATTTAAAAGAGCTTGCTTTTAAGAAGGTTCATCAATCTGAAGGGGGTTTCTACAGGTATCACTACCACCACCACCAAAAGGATTTTATTAACTAAGACCTATGTGTGTGACATGATACCAGGTGTTCTGTATCATGTACATGAGTCCTTACATTTTTCTGATTCACAGCTTGTAACAGAAACCTGTGTACCTGAAGACAGTGGAAAACAAACAGATGAGGCAACTTCATGTATCAAAAATGAAGGAAAAGCTGAATAAAAACGGTAATTCATGCCAGCCAGCCCTATTTTATGAAGAATTGACAGAATAATCATCCACAAATTGAACATTTTCCATGATAAAGGTAACACAAATCTGCATTGAAGAAATATCATGTAAACTACTTAATCCTTTTAAAGTATCTTAAAATTTAAAAATCATACTATTAGTATTGGTTACTTCCTCCCCATCCAAAAAAGTACAAAACAAAACGGAAAAACGATGTTTACACCACAGAAGATGCATGCACATTTATAAAGAAGTAGATACATGCAGTCAGTTTATGTTATTTTCATACCTTAATCTTGGGTTCTTCTTTTAATTTGTCTCTTTCTGGAACTCTTTCTATCTTCTTTAGCTTTTCTATATCTTTCCTTTTTCGTTTCTCTTCTTCTTTCCATTTCCTTCTCTCTTCTTCTCTTTGTCTTTTTCTTTCTATTTCTCGCCTTCTTCTTTCTTCTCTTTTTTCTTCTCTCATTCTCTAGAAAGAAACATCAACATACACCTTCAAACAAGATAATCATCACCAAAACCTTAAATCAATCCCAAAGGCATGGTGGGCACCCACTAAACTGGATCATCTTTCCTTCCTACTTTCTATCTCCTTAACCCCCTCCCCACCCATTCAGAATATGAGTAAGCATAAAGGCCAGGGCCTGCTAGTATCAGAGTCTCCCACTGCTGCCTTGCTATATTTCTAGAGGCTTTCAGAAAAATAGGGAGTGTGTCTCTGGAACAAGTTAAGGACTTTCTGGGTTTGCAGAGTGATACCTTGGTCCAACAACCAAAGAGAAGGAGAGGGCCAATAAGCCAAATCTTTAAAGAACAGTGGTAAGAAAAAGCAGCTTTTCTCTTATGGGATCCCAGTGTTCTTAAAATGTTTAACAGAATGTGAACCAATGAAATAAAAGTATTGAGAGAACTATAAAAACAAAGGTTTACCTGCTTGTTTTTCAGGAAGCTCAATAGTGGGGTTGTCTTTTTAGCTACATAAATGTAAACAGATTATTAATAATACTTATCAACCCCTAGAAAGGATTCCATTTTCTGACATTCCCTGCCAACCATCCAAGGTGGGAAAAACTATACCCCTTAAACAGAGTTCACAACTATATTATTGGAATGAAGTTTTTATAGCATTCCAATTCTGCAAATTTAAAATACCATTTAAAAATTGAAGAAATACAAAATAAAATAAAACTTTTTTAAAATGTAATTTCTAGTGTTGGTGAGAATTAAGTGTAAAGGACATTCTCTTGTTCTACAGACAGGAGTACACATTTGTCCAACTGGGAACAAATTGGGGGAAGGGGCTAAAAATATCCTTTTGACCCCATCATTTCACTTTTGGGAATTTATTCTAAGGAAATTATCAGAGATGGGCTTATACTATGCGTTCATTAATAAAAACCAACTTCTAGAAGAATATAATTCATTTTTCAATATTCCAAACAATACTATCTAGCTCTGTAGCTAGCTTTTGAAAGCACACTTCCTTTGGATAAATTGCTCAGAGTGGACATCCTGAGGCTATGCTTATGTTTAGAACAGATACAGTTGTGACTGCTTACTACTAGAACCAACATCCAGGCTAGAATTTCTCAAGAGGTTTTCAGTTTTGCAGTAACTAAATCCATTTTTTATATTTCAGGTCAAATTTCTTTTTGAGAACATTAGCTTCTTCTTACTAGAAAACACCAACTGAGATCATCAAATGCTTACCAACATCTAAAGGTGCCATGAGTCTTCAAATGTTTTATACTTATGTTACATTTGCATGGCACTAAATAGGTCACAGAGAATTTTCCCCATCTAATCAACTCTTCTGCATAATCCTGTGACACAGGTATTATCATCTGCTTATTACAGTAGAAGAAACAGTCTCAGAGAAGTTAGTGCTTTCCCCATGATTACACAGCTGTCAAGTAACAGAAGTGGGAGTCAGACAGGTCTTCTGATGAAAAAGCTGTTGCCCTTAATTCCTTTTGTTGACTTACCTATTAGTTCTCTATTTTTAGCTTCTATTTCCTCTAGCAGAGTCTCTGGAGTAGATGTCATTTTCTCATTATCTGCAGCATAACTTTCCAAAAATTTTCTATATTCTGGATCTAAGTAATTGTTTAAGTAAACAGAAAATATAGTAGAGTTTAAACAAATAAGACATTATTATCTAGAATATTTATCAAAAAAGAAAATTTCCTACTTCATGGAAAATTGCAAATAACCTATACCCACAAGATAGACTATTTGGGGCTCTATTGGTTACTCTCAGAACTTCTATTAGAGATACCCACAAAGAGAGTCTGGTGTAACATGGGATCAGGGAAAATAAAATACCATACATTATAACAGAACCTCCAGGAATGATAGTTTGCTTTTGAAAGTCACTGCTCCTACTAATGCAGTCACACTTGTGAGAGAACTGTTATATGTATATAGTTATGTATATATAGTTACAGTATATATTTTTGTATTATATGTAGTTACAGTATATATTTATTATGTATACAGAATGTAAGCAATTCCTATATGGGTATACTTCACTTTAAGTAAACTCAACATATGAAAATCAGGTATTCCAAAAAGATAAATTAGGGGGATGTCCTAGCTGTGGCACTGGAGGAGATGGTAAGGCCTGGTGTTCTTTCCTACATGCCCCTTGACATCAGACAGGGTAACACATCTGAGTCATTATATTTCTTGTATTTGGAGTTTCTATGGAGTGTGGAACATGTCACTTGACCTAGTCTTCCTGGTCTGAATCTATGATATCATCAATAAGCAGCTTCGTGTTGAGTCTTTTCTGTGTTCTTTATAAAATACCCATTATAGTAATAAATAATGGAAATCAAACTACATGATTCTAAAATAATCAATCTGATAGAAAATATTGCAGCTAAGCCCTTATCCAACATAAGTTACAGAGATCTCAAAATCTGGATCCAGTTTAACTTAAGTGGCAATTATTCCAGTTTTTTAGTTCCTGTCTTTTGATTCAATGTAATTATACTATGTAATTAACTTCATATTCAAAGCCTAGAAAATAGGACAAGTTACTTGATATTAAGTTACTTGATATAAAATTTTCTAGTATAGCTCTCAATGATAAATCTTCCTCTTTATAAAACTGGAAACCCAAAAGTCATATAAATAATCATAACAATGGTAAAAAGCCTCAAGTAGTCATTACACTACTCAGTAGTACTTAATGGTGGTTGAATGAAATGCCACTAGCCAAAGAAAGTGAAAACTCTATATGAAACCTACCTCCATTTTAACAGTTAAGCAAAGCTTTCATCAATGAATTATATTTCATACTAACTTTATCCCATATGTTCTCTTATTTAAAAGCTTGGAGTCCAACTGATTCCCACAAAAGTAATGTTTTGGCTCGGCTAGTGTGACTCAGTGGTTGAGCATCAACCCATGCACCAAGAGGTCGCTGGTTTGATTCCCAATCAGGGCACATGCCCAGGTTATGGGCCAAATCCCCAGTGTAGGGAATGCAGGAGGTGGCCAATCGATGCTCTCTCTCATCAATGTTTCTATTTCTCTCTCCCTCTCCCTTCCTTTCTCTCTAAAATCAATAAAGGAGAAAAAAAGTAATGTTTTGTTTTGAAATATGTTTTTATTGATATTTTTTAGAGAGAGGAAGGGAGAGAAATGGAAACATCAATGTGAGACAGAAACATCAACTGACTGCCTCCTACATGCCCCCACTGGGGATTGAGCCCTGACCGGAATCAAACTGGGACCTCTCAGTCCATGGGACAATGCTCAATCCACTGAGCCACACCAGCCTGGCAAGGTAATGTTTTTAAAAAACTCGCCCTGGCCAGTTTGGCTCAGCGGTTAGAGCGTCGGCCTGCGGTCCGGAGAGACCCGGGTTCAGTTCCCGCTAAGGGCATGTACTTTGGTTGCAGTTTGTCCCCGGCCCTGGTTGGTCGTGCGGGTGGCAGCCACTCGATGTGTCCCTTCACGTCAATGTTTCTGTCTCTCTCTCCCTTCCTCTCTCTCCCTCCCACTCTATCTGTACAAAAAATGGAAAAATATCCTCAGGTGAGGATTAAAAAAAAACAAAAAAAACCCATGGTGCCCTGGCCGGTTTGGCTCAGCGGTTAGAGCATCAGCCTGCGGTCCAGAGAGACCCGGGTTCGGTTCCCACTAAGGGCATGTACCTCGGTTACGGTTTGTCCCCGGCCCTGGTTGGGTCTTGCGGGTGGCAACCACTCGTCGATGTTTCTCTCTCTCTCTCTCTCTCTCTCTCTCACTCCCACCCTATCTGAACAAAATAAAAAGAAAACAACAAAAAAAAACATGTCAATAGCATTACATAACTAGAGCCATACTGTACCATCATCGATAGTCCCAACTTTAGTATCTCTTTTCTTAGTCTTCTTTTTTGCAGCTTTTTGAAAAGGAGCAAATTCTACTATTGCAGGATATTCTTGACCTGTTTAGAAAAAAACAACACACTTGTTATAACAAAGAAAATGTCAAGTGGATACAAGAGTCGACCCACTTCTCTCTAGACTTTTTTTTTTTCACTTTGTCTATGTTTTTTTTTTTTTTTTATTAAAAAATTTTAATGTTGACATTATTGCAGGTATCCCTCTTTTCCCTTCCCTTTGCCTAGGCTTCCTTTGATGGCAGTCATCTAAGAAGTGTCTCCAAACAAACATCAATCACACTGGCACAACTAAAATCAACATGCTATCAAAGGAGCCCCGAATGGAAAAAAATTAAATGAATAAAACATTCATTTAAATTCCACTTCTAAAGTGTGATATTTTGATATGTTGGAGGGGGTATTTAAGCTAATTTTCATTAAAAAAAAAACACATCAGAACTCTCTTGAATAAGCAAATTTATAGAGAAAAATAAGATTAGTGGCTGTCTAGAACTGGTGGGGAGAACAGGGAGTGATAGCTAATGGGTATGGGTTTCTCTTTACAGTGTTGAACATGTTCTAAAATTAGATTGTAGTGATAGCTTCACAATTCTGTGAATATACTAAAAACATTTTTTAAAAATAAATTTTAGTTTTTTTATTGATTTTAGAGAGAGAAGAAGGGAGGGACAGAGGAAGGGAGAGAAAGATTTCCAGGCCAAGCCACTAGGAAATCATTGCTATCTACTAGAATAAAGTTGGACTACAGAAGTAGCTAGTTTGTGGAGAATAATAAAGTTGGACAAACAGTGGCAATCCTTCTACTTTTAGAGACATTTTCCCTGACAAAGATTACATTTTCACTAGAAGTAACACTGAAAAAACAAAACTCAACAAAAGACACATCATTCACTATGATTGCAAAGCCAAAGAAAAGCGGCAAATGGCAGCTCGGACATTCTCTGGCTAAATGTTGCAAGCAGTAGAAAATAAAGAAAAAGCCCTGGCCGGTTTTGCTCAGCAGTTAGAGCATCGGCCTGCGGTCCGGAGAGACCCGGGTTCGGTTCCCGCTAAGGGCACGTACTTCGGTTGCAGTTTGCCCTGGTTGGTCGTGCGGGTGGCAGCCACTCGATGTGTCCCTTTCACGTCGATGTTTCTCTCTCTCTCTCTGTTCCTCTCTCTCCCTCCCACTCTACCTGAACAAAAAATGGAAAAATGTCCTCGGGGGAGGATTAAAAAAAAAAAAGAAAAATTTTCAAAACATTAAAAAAATACCCAAGGGCTGAGAAAAGTCACATATAAGATTGTAATAGGCATATCGAATGTGTAAAACTCTTTAAATGTTGCACATGTTATCACCCAGGATTTTAGAAAAACTATCACGGCAATGAGAAAACACTGTGATACACATATTGTCTTAATTGACAAAGAAACCTCTTGTTACTAGGACTCACCTTTATTGTCAAGGAATACGTAACCATCAAAGCGATCCCTGAACAAAATAATGTCCTCTTGGTTTTTAAAGTTGATGTATGCTCTGGCATACATATGTGGATACAGACTGCAGAGAGGAAAGCAATTATGTAAATGTGCTTGCAAGTGTCTGGCTAGATTTTAAGAATGCATATATTAAAGAGGCAGGCTCAAAATTCAAATAGAAAACATTGGTAGGATAAAATGGAATGGAAGAAACCATTTTCATTTACCCCCTCCCTCTTTTATTTATTTTACCTAGTATCATTAGAAAAAAACTCAAAATAATCATGCTCAGGCATAGGCTGAAGATGTTCCTGAAGCTGCTCCTTGGTCAAAGTGGGAGGTAATCTCCGAATTACCACCTTCAGAAATGAATAAGTAAAATAAAATTAGTACAATCAATTTTCTGTCATACCTGAAAGAATCACCATTCCTGAGGAAAGCTGGGCTTTAAAATTGATCTCTTTTAGAGATCAATTATAAGAACCCAGGAGAAAATAGTCATGTAATGCTTAGAATTAATCAAACATAATAGTAGTGTGGTTTTTTAAAAAAATCTCTTAGAAATGAGAACTGTCTGGAGCAAGTAAAATATCAGGTTCTGTTAACCCAAAGCCCCGCAGTTTACTTGGTTTTCGTATTATTTTCTATCACCCATTTTCCAATAGATGTAGTGGCAAGAAACTGGTAGGCGAATCCTGGTCTTTTGTGGGTGGTACGAACTCTTGATTTACTAATGTCTCCCTACCACATCCAACATATCCTAAAACAAAACCCTTTCTCATTCAGCATAAAGAATTCAAAACTCTGACGAATACTGAAAATTGCCTCATTGTTCTCCAAACAGGAAGAACTCGATGTGGCCCCAAGACCACTAATCCCGACACTCCCTCAACTCGCCTCCATTAATACTTTAATCACAAACTACTCCCACCCTTGAGAGCCCCTTCACTATTTTATAATTTCCCCAATTA